TTTCAAATTGCAAATCTCCAAAAAATTTTCCAATACATATAATGAAAAAAATCCACGCATAATTGGACCGAGGCAGTTCAAATCCATGTTGCTCAAGGGTCAATTACACTTTGAAGCATAATAGACTACTTATAATACTTAATACAATGTAAATGCTATGTAAATAATTGTTATACTGTATTGTTTAGAGAATGATAATGAGAAAAGTCTATACATGTTCAATATAGACACAACCATTCATTTTTTTTTTCCCCTGAGTATTTTCAATCCAAGGTTGGATGAATCCAAGGATACAAAGCCCACTGATAGAGAGGGCCAACTGCATATTCAGGAAAGAGTGAAGAGACAATTTATGTCTCACCTCTGCTCAAAACCCTCCCATAGCTCCCTATCTCAATAAAGTAAAAGTCAATGGAAGTCTTACATGCTCATGCGCCACTGGCCCAATGATATCTGTGACCTCATATTATACTTTTCCCCCAACTCATTTACTGCATTGCAGCTTCGCTGCTCTCCTGGCTATTTCTTGAATACTCTAGGTATGCTCCTATCTCAGAGACTTCACATAGGCTATATTCCCTCAGCCTGGAATGCTGTGTCCACTGAGTATTTGCATGGCTAACTCCTCCTTCTCCTTTGCTCCTCAGCACTTTACTTTCACTGCTGTATTTAAAACTGTAAGCCTTGCCCTCATGTCCTGGCACTTCTTATTCCCTCCCAATTTACTGTTCTCTACAGCATTTATAAACATCCAGTTATGCCATATAATTTATTACATTTTTTTTTGTTTTTTCTTCCTCCCCTATCAAGCTAACAATTAGAACATAAGCTCTATGAAAGAGGGGACTTTATTTTGTTCCCTGCCTAGCCCAATTGCATAAAATAGTGCCTGGCTCGTAATAAGGGCTCAATAAACATTTGTCAAATAAATGCATGTTTCCTTGGTCACAAGCATGCCAAAGCAAAGCAAGTTGATCTGTGATAAGAAGAATGAAGCAGATATGTATGGAAACAGAGATGAAAGACCATACAGTTCTAGAAAGAGGGTAACTAGATGTTGATGCTGCCAACTTCTCATCCTTTTAACTCACTTATTCCAAAATTTAGTTACATCAAGTTTTTCCAATAGTGGATTTAGAACATGATCAACTGCAATATATTGCGGCTTCATACCTTTCAAATGAATATGTTCCATAAAGCATAACAATTGCCTTGGTATCCCATAAAAAAAGTTACCGGGAAGATTTTGCATTATGTTTGCTAATGTAAATGGTAATTTATCAAAATGAAAAAAAAAATCAGCTTTATATATCACTGAGCTTAAATGTGAGCATTCGGCCGGGCGCGGTGGCTCACGCCTGTAATCCTAGCACTCTGGGAGGCCGAGGCAGGCGGACTGTTTGAGCTCAGGAGTTCCAGACCAGCCTGAGCAAGAGCGAGACCCTGTCTCTACCAAAAATAGAAAGAAATTAATTGGACAGCTAAAAATATATAGAAAAAAATTAGCCGGGCATGGTGGCGCATGCCTGTAGTCCCAGCTACTTGGGAGGCAAGGCAGTAGGATTGCTTGAGCCCAGGAGTCTGAGGTTGCTGTGAGCTAGGCTGACGCCATGGCACTCACTCTAGCAAGGGCAACAAAGTGAGACTCTGTCTCAAAAAAAAAAAAAAAAATGTGAGCATTCTACTATGGCAAAATGTTTAACAGTATCTTTATGAGAGCTTTACATATCAATACTTGCTTGCAACACCTATTCCAATATTGCAGTGCTTTTCCTTTAAAAACATGTTTATCCTTGAGCAAGGGACAGATTTTTTTCTCAAACTGAGAAATCTCAGTGCTTTATAGGATCAGAGTACTAGCCCATAAAAATGGGGAGACTGGGTATCTAAGGTCTCCTCCTGCTTTGAAGTTTAAAGATTTGATGACAGATAGCAGTTTACATAACACATCTGCACTCATACACATTACTAAAAACAGTAAGAAGAATTTACCCATCCATTGTATTATGAGAATGGATTATAAACCTATTGATTTTACAAAAATACAATTTAACACACTGAACCCTTTAGAGATCTGTAAAATCTAGCAAACACTTATTATGAAAGGGCAAACTCACAGAATTCAGTATTACTTCTTACAAATACATACTGACCATTATGTTACATATGGTATCACTAGATGAAAGCAACATGCTATTTTTAAAAAGGAGGGAAGAGTTACATTCTATTTGCATGGTCTATATTTTAGTAACAATCTCTTTGCTCAGAATATTAAAATATTTTTTCTAAAAAACAGAAAAGTAAACCACAACATTATCAGTGTTTTCAACGGTGGGTGATTAAAAGATTTTTTAGAATTTAATTTTGTGTTTAGACATATTTTCCAGATCTTCCACAAAAAATTGTTTTTTGTCATCTGATAAAAACTTAAATTGCATTTTTTAAATTTACAAAATAATCTATAACTGATTTAATAAATGGAAGTTGTTTACAAGCTTTTTGACATCTTCACTTTAGCATTTTTAATCTTCTTTTACCCTCCCTTTTCCTTCAAGTGTTATTTCAAGTTAAATTTAAATTGTGAAAATTTCAGAAGTCTTCCAAATTGGAATTTTGCAAAATTCACTTTCATTTCATGACAAATAGTTTCATAAAACAAATACAAAACAAAGTTTCTGTTAAATAATATAAATGATTCATCCTATGAGGAGTGACAAAAATAATTATTTCAACAATGGACACTTGGTATATACTTACAACTATCTAATGTAAGTATAGAGTCTGACAGACATAAGTTTAAATCTTGCCTCTGCCATTTGCTACCTGTGTGACCTTGGACAAGTTACTTAATCAAACCAGTTTCCACATCTGTAAAATGGGGATACTACCTACCTAAAAATATTGAGAAAATTAAAAGAGATGTGTATCAAGTGTTTAGTAAAGTACACACGAGTCCTCAGTACATGTTAGTTATTTTAATAAGGAACAATGTTCAAGTCAATAAATAAGTATCATTTATACCTTATCCCAATTATAAATTTACAAGGGAAAAAATATATCTAAGCACAGGAAGTACACTGAAAATACTCCTTTCACGGTCCTGTATACACGTTGAGATTCTGCAATTCCTGAATTACCAATGACTATTGTGGCTCCATAAACATATGCAAGTACTAAGTGCCCTGGCCAAAAGAATGGGAATTTTAAGTAATATGCCAGTACATATCAAGTGATAAATACACAAATAAAATACATGCCATACTAGATATATTCATTAAAATCTGAATCCAAAAGGATGTGAAACCTATGTAGGTGGAAATTTACAAGGACCACCTGTCAAAAAGAATGTTAATTCCTAACCTTCAGCAGGTTTACTTTACTAGTTTTTCCAAAGGACTTTCCAGTGACAATTAGCTTCACCCAGTGTATCTAATAAACGCAAATGTGGTATAATGAAAGGGAGACTATTTGCAATCAGAATACTTAGGTTTAACTCTGTCTCTTACTACCTGTGTGAACCTTGGACAAGCTATTAAAGTAACTAACGGTTGGGGGCAGTGGCTCACATCTGTAATCCCAGCACTTTAGGAGTCTGGGACCAGAGGATTGCTTGAGGCCAGGAGTTCAAGA